TGATTTTCAAAATACAAAAGATATGCTCATTTATTATAACTTTGTGGTTGAATACCTAAGTTTGTAACCAGCCTTCTCCCCCACATGACACTATGCATAACAAGCATTGTATGCCTACACTATTCTGTAGATAGCATATATACTGTATATACCTTGTTGTTATGCTGGCAATACGGCTCACTTCAGGATGTCAGTTTTGTAATGCTAGGCTATAGCTGATATCATCCTTTTGCCCCAGCTGATTTTTTTTCCAGCTTAAGTCAGAATTCATTTAATTCTTCTAAGTCCTGTGGGGATGTGAAAGCTCAATGCATTGTTTTTCTCCTGAAAGCCTTGTCACCAAGAATGTAATAAGATAACTGAATCTGGAATTTGGGTGACATAAATTGACCTACTCGCCTGATCTGTATGGGAAATAGCTTGATTACTGAGCCCAATACTGAACTGAGCCCAGATCGGTTCATTCATTATTATCTAATGTGCTTTGTTGATTTCAGTGTTGTTTACACATTGCACTGAATACACTAATTCATATTACACAAGTTATAACAAAACATATTAAGAAGTCATTTCCAAACTATGCAAGTGTACCCTTTACAAAATTGGAATAGTCATATCAAATATGAAATAATATTTGAGAAAAACAAAATGGTTGGAGGTGTTGGGTATGTTTAGTCTAGCGAAGAGAAAACTGTGGGAGAGTACAGTAGCTGTCCTCAAATATCTGAAGAGCTGCATGTCGAAGTTGGGATGGAATTGTTCAGTTGTTCCAGGAGAAGAAAGAGTGGGTTTTAATTACAAGTAGATTTTGATTGAACAACAGGAAAAAATGTCCTTATGGTAAAAGCTGTTCAGCAATGAAAAAGACTGCCTTGGGACTCTCCTTTGCTGGAGGAGATGGCTACTGCTTGACTGGAAGCATATAAGCAGAGATTGGATGCTATAATAGTGGACTGGAGTATATGTTCTCCAAGATCCTTTCCTAGCTGTATATTCTGTAATTATGAGAAAGTTAGAAAAGCAATGAGAGAATATACATGTAAATATAAATGATCAAGAAACTGTTAACTAGTGATGAAATAAATAAAGAACATACTGTATATACGCACAAGTTTTCAAGTATTCCAATGATGAAGTTTAGGGCCAGACATATTTCGACCCAAGCATTAAACTCCTCTTAATTATGGAGCATCCATTAGTCTTTTCAGAAAAAGTTCATCATCATGATTATTGTTTATTATAAATATTCTTTATATTCTGGAAAATTAATATAGAATGAAGTAATTCTTCATTACATCAATTTATATCTCACCAAGTTCCTGTTTGATGCTTGATGCAAACCTGGTTTGGCATACTTTATATTTCCTCCCTTAATGTTTTATTTGAACTAGGTTTTAGAATTTTCTGGTTTATTTTCCATATTTTAGACCGCATAAGGCAGATATAAAATGGAAAATTTCCTCTCTAGTGAATAGTTTCCCTTTTGTTATGCTCTTTTTGTTTGCAAAATCAAAGCAATCTAATGAATTCCAGTTACTCTTTCAGTTTGAAGTGTTCTGTTTTAAACTTTTAAAAATAAGTTTAGCTTATTGTCTTTGTGCTAAAATAATGGAAAATGCTGAGACATTTGCAAAAATAGATTTTTTGCAAATGTACAGAGATATGGGTTGAATTCATAGCCATAATGAACAGAATTACATGAATTATACTCTTAGTGACACAAATGCTTCATTATGAACAAGCAAGTGAGAGACAGATTCTGGCTTCCAAGAGGATTGTTTTTCTATTTGCCTGGTTACGTCTTGAAGAGATAGTTATATTTAATAGGGTTCTGCAGCATTTCAGGTTCAATTTGTCTTTTCCTGGGGTTGTGTGTCTGCCCTCTGCAGCTGTTGCATGATCCCTGGAAAGACCTATATTTTAAAGCAGGTCAGAGTTGCAAAAATGTGTAACAGTCATGTTCTGAATTGCTTTTTTAAAGAATGCAATCTGAAAGCACTGCTAATATTTAAGATCCTTGCATCACTAGAGAAAGGTTGTCTTTTTCCTTTCCAGCTTTGAAAAAGTAGATATTATATTGTGCCCCAAAATATTATAGTGACATGAGGCTTCTGTACTGTGTACAGGGTTCCACTGGTGCATTTATTGATTTATTTGCATTTATGCAGTCACCCTTCTCACCAAAGCAGCTCTGGGTGCTGAACATCATTTCAAATTAAAAACAGTATTTTAACTAATAAAACATGCAACACAATATCCCAAAAAGGCAGCTTAGAATACAAAGAATCACCAAAGAATATCAACCATTCAGGCTTCACTCACTTTCCATGGCAAACGGCCAGGTCTTCAGCATTTTCTGGAAGACCAGCAGGGTTGGGGCTAATCTGATCTCAGGTGATAAGGTTTTCCAGAGAGCAGGTGCCAGGACAAGAAGGCACATTTCCTGGGTCCAGCAAGCTGGCATTCTTTAATTGACAGGACCCAAGCATACCCATCCTGTTGGCCCTAATACCCATCCTCTTGGCCCTAATAATATGGGTAGAGGCCACTAAAGAGAGGTGGCCTTTCAAGTATCTTGGCCACATGTCATAAAGAGCTTTCTAGGTTACAACCAGCAACTAGAATTGCACCAGGAGCCAATGCAGCTTGAGTAGCAATGACGTGTCATGGGCAATTGATACAATTGATCTTATCCACAATATAACAATATTCCACAAAATGGATTTCCAGTTTAATCAATACATAACTAAGATGGCTAATGATTGGCTTGTGACTCATATAATAAAATATATGCATGAATTGTACAGTTTGAATGATGCCAAATTCCTAGGTTCTGAATTTTGCAATAGATTAATATTAAGCCATTGACTGAAGTTCAAATTTAGGTTTCAGCAACAAGTCAAGTTTATATTGTAAAATTAAACATATGTGCATATACATAAGAATGTAGAAGTGTTAATGCACATGATGCATTTATGTACACATTACAAAGTTATCGAAGCAAGGGGCTACTGGTACATGTATATAAGATAATGACATTTTTAAAGACATACTATATGAAAGCATCATTTTTCAAAATGCTTACATATGCAAATGAGTCACTGAAATCAGAGGTCTGGCTTAAAATCTGATTTATAAGATTTGAATATTTGTTGTTAAACTATGTTGTCTAACCTTTTCTGCATCACCTCAGACAATCTGTTATTTGGCATCACAAATGAAAATCGTGGTATGTATTTAGGTTGCGAGTATAGATCATAGTCTATGCAAGTTGGTATATTAACTTTTCATGCAGTGTTCCTTCCAAAGTAGTTTGGGAACTTCTGTGCTGCCAATTTCAACCCCAAACCCTGGAAAAAAATTCAGACAATCCGTGAACATTGTCACCAACGACAGGCTCCAAATGCACATTCACATGATCTGATCCACTTGAGGGGGAGAAAGAAAAAGGTGCTCTAACCAACCAGTCTCCATTCACATTCAAATATCCTGTGTGGCACTTGGTATAAATCCTCACTGTTTGCTATAAAGGAGAGCTGCCAAGAAGCCAAATTGTCCTCCCCTGTCATGAGTTGAAGCCGATTGTGAAGTACTTAGCAGCTCTGTCTGTTACAAGAGGGAGGAGAGTCAGGGCCCAAAAGGTGGAGATCCCACCAACAGAAGCTGGGTCATTCCCAAGCTCAGAGAATTCAACTGAAAAGCATTCTGGATGCATTTTTTATTGAACTGCAGCTGAGTTAGAAGTAAATTGGCATGGTTGCCCAATAGAGAAAACAGCAGGAGACCACAAGAGGGCACAGCCTGAAAATCTGAAAATGTTGCAAATACCATGTGGGGAAGTACCTTTTGTTTCTACAGCCTCTGATTCCCTATTGGCAACTTGTGAGATATCTAAATATCTAAACATCTAAATCTATATATCTATATGTACACACACACACACACTCACACATGATATACCAAGCTTGGCCTGAGAGTTTTTGCCCATTTTTCCTCCTTTTTATTAGCAGTTGTCATGTGGTATATATTATCAGGTCCTTGAAGGCAAGCACAAATTTTCCTGAAGCTTCCCAGAACTGGAACCACACAAAATCTTTCTTAATAACTGTAACCATTACAAACAGCTGATAATCACTGAGTAGCAGGAGGTTGATTTATAAAATTTATATCCCCATTTTATTCAAATAAAGTCCCCTCTTTGCCTCTTTTTATCCCTGTATGATGGGGTCCTTCCTTTTCATTTATCACAGTGTCATTAGTGGCAGTTGCATGGTTACATTCTTTGCATTTCTGCTCTGAGAATTTATTGCAATATGACTGAGAGAATTGAAATACTGCCATTCATAGGGCAAAACACACAAAGATATGAAATTAGGACAGAATTTCCAGTAGCAGAAGGGAGCGCTACCAGTCCTAAAAATAATGAATGGAGTTTTATTTGAAACATGATGATAATACTGATTTGTTATTTGAATGCTTCTATGCCTGTCTGTCTCTCTGTCTCATCATCTAACTCTTCATTCATTAAATGGGCAAATAATCATTTTTTACACTTATTGCACTTTAAAGCATTATTATATAATCAGCCTAAAATAGAGCCTTGATATGTTTTTTTCTGTAATCTGTCCAATAGATTTGAACAAAAGATTTAATACACACATTCAAAATGCAATAAATAGTAATAAAAATCAATAGCATTTAAACAACAAATAATAAATGGAAGACTGACTCATGCAAATAGTCAAATAGATTATAGAAAGTATAAGAAGCTATGCAGTCTTGAATTTAAGTATAATGCTCTTTTTTAACTTTGGGAATACAAATGCCAAAAAAGATTAAGCTTTTGATGTTATGTGTGAAAGGTGTTTAGCTTAGTGCCTGACACCTTACACTGATTGTTGGTAAAGATCATTCATGCTATAAAGTTGAGAACTATGTAACCCTCCCCTGTCACTTTCATTTTCATCAGTGTCATATTATGAAACATTATTTATTTCCAGAATGGGATTTTAGTAAAAGTAACAGAGACCTGTCCTCTACTGAACTGCTCGGAAAAAGACTATGTCCTCCCAGAGAATCAGTGCTGCAGTGTTTGTAAAGGTAAGTAGGATGCTGCCATGTGTTCTTGACAGTATAAGTGGTTTTTGAGTAGTTCACTGTATTTGGAGTGGAAGAATTTTATAGGTTCTATTATGTTTCTTTGAACGGGTTTTATTTGTCGAAATGGAGCTTGCTAGGTATAGAATCAGACTGCCCAACTTAGAAAACAATATTATTATTCCATTTAGAATAAGGAAGACCATACAGCAGAACTGGGCAATCCACAGCCTGTGGGCCATATACAACTTCCCAGCATTCCCCAAATTGCACCTTTGAAATTAAGTTACAGAATAGCTGAATTTCAGTGGTGTGTTTTTAAGCTGGGGAGGGGTGCATTTAATGATGGTGAAGACAATAATTTGCCTTCTAGAAGACCTCTGCTACTATTTCTGCTCTAACCCTTTAAAATAAGAAATGAGCCAAAAAATGATCCCCACCTGGAACATCCCTGGATTGTCATCCCAAGGCCTTCTGGAAGGTTTAGAGGCAATCTTGCAAATTCCGATCCCCATCCCTCAAATGATGCTGCCTTGGCTGAACAAATCCTGCAGCTGTAATTTTTCCACTAACTAAACTCAGGGTGGCTTAAAAGCAGCAGACTTGGAATGTAGGAATCACCAAATTATGAAATGTACTAAAACACCAGCCATCAAGGAAACATTATTAAGATCATACATCAGGACAATCTGATTTTTTTAAACAGCTATGTTTATCCAAATGCTAAAATAAATAAAATGATGACACATATCTAATATCAGCAGGAAGAATATTTCTATCAGATGGAGGCTAACTGCAGGAGAAACCTGGTTATTAATAATTGTTTGTCATGGTTGCATCACAAAGCAGTGGGATCTGTAGCATATAAAGAAAGATATATGGAAGAAAGCAGTCTTAAAACACCCAGATTCCAAGCCATTTAGGGACTTTAAAGTAAACCCAAACCCTAACCTTGAATTCACAAAAAAGAAGCGAATTAGTTCAAATCAAGGAAAAACACCTAAATGATGTTAACAATTTGATAGTAATTTTTAATTCTCTGATCCAATTAATAGAACCATATATGGCAATGAAAAATAAATGTTTATTTCTCCTTATTAATAGCATTTCTTCCAGCTATGTTATTTTTAGTATTGTCATTGGTATTTTGTTAAATTAATGTGCCCTATTATAGCTGTACTTCAGATAGTGTAGTCAGGACTCTCTCATGGGCAAGGCTGGTGTTACATCAGCAGGATTTTCCAGATTTTTTCCAAACCTCTTCTGAAAGTAGTACATTCATAATGATCAAACATCTCACTTCATAAAATCTTGCATATCTGCATATAAAACATGATGTACAATGATTCTAAGTATTCAAATTCATATGTAATTACTGTTGCAGTTAATTCTCTTGTTATTTTAAAAAAATAAAATAATTGAGTGTATAGAAGAATGCAATAATTTCTTCATGGTAACTTGAGCAGGTTTTCTGATTTATCACAATGGCCATAATTTGTGACTGGAGTATGTATGATGATGAATGTGATGAATGTGTGGATTTTTCCTACAAGTTTCACTGCATCATTCTATGTAATGCTATTTGGTGTTTCTAACGCGCTGCCAACTCCTACAAATAAAGACTACTGAATAACCTCTGTACATGAAAAATAAATAATAATTATGTCTGAATCAAATATTTTGAAGTAATGTAAATTAAATCATTTTGTCTCACTTTTGATTGAGCAGGTAGTTGGTTTAAGTACATATCTATTGATCTGCAGTTTGTGTTTTACAGTCTGCTCAGAAGTAACTTTCATTGGTATCACTGAGATTTACTTTCACAGCAGTTGGTATAACATGGTCACCTATAGCTGCAATGACCTCTTTAAAATGGGACTTATCTTTAAATGTATATTAATAGGATTGGGTTATTGTCTATATGAAAAAATGCAATGAGAGGATATTAATAGTGTGCATCTGTTAATCCTTATAATTTACTTTCATGAAAGAGATAATTTCTTTCAGTGGCTGCTTCAGGGGGCTCTTCAGGGAGCAGAGTTGCCATCCCTTTGAATTTAGCTTTAAGACTGGACTGTTTCTAGAAAATAGATGGAAAATTCTAGCAAATCGCTGTGGGAGATACAAAATCTAGTGAATTGTTGTGGGACTTATTTCTACAACTTAATTTTTATTAAATGTTAGATAGATGTTGAGAAGTATGAATTTAATCACTCTGCTGTAAGGAACAGGGATTACATATTTACAAAGAATTCTTTCAGACATAGTATTTTGTTCTCAGGAACAGTTATTTGAACTTTTATATCTGTCAGGTATCTGTCAGAATGACATGCAAATATGTAAACTGAAATATTTGTTCTGAAGATATATCTGAGACCCCAGAAAAGATAGGCTCATGTTGGGTTTTTTTTTCTTTTCTGTTTTTAGGAAGGAAAAAAAAAACTAATAACAGTTCTAGTGACCTCTGATGAATCCTTTAAATTTTCTTGTGTTACACTTCCATGTCAGAAACTGTGCAATATTAATATGATTTTGTAAAGTTTCTCTGTGCATATTAGAACTCATAGAAAGATTTTTAAAATTTTGACTGGAATTCTAAGCTTTGGAATTTAGATTTTGGAAATAAGAGAAAGCTGCTGTCTTATAATGATTGTACTCATTTCTTAAGTAAAGTCATCATTTAACAAGGAGTAGGAATTGAGCTACGTAGCCTCCAGCCTCATGGCTTTAGTCTTCCATTTTACAAAGATGGGGATAAGAGTTTGGAAGGATTTACTTCCTCTTTTAATTAATTCAGTTTACCACTAGAAGTTTATTTAACTGTCATTAGTTTCAGTGAACCAGCTCCTGAAGCCACATTTCTGAAGCTGCCTGTTGTAAACTAATGATGGTGTTAATCATAGTTTGTTGCTGAGATGATACTACAGACAGTAATTAAACAAAAGCAAATCTTCTGGCTTTTCTTCCCAGCTACATGGAGAAGGAAACAGGAAATGTGGTGCCTAAGCCTGAAGCTTACTGTGATTTCGGGTGATATTGAAAATATAGTTAGTGAGTTAAACTGAGAAACATTCTTTAGGATTTTAGAGAAGAGTCTTTTTTATGGAGGTCAGACTGAACCTATGATATTCAGCATTCAAAACACGTGCTGTAATATTACAATCTTTTCCAAGTCATTATGGGCATGATTTGACAGAAGAAAACTTAGGACTCTTAATGATTTGAATTTTAATTAGCTTGAGGAATTAAGTAATTTATATAATTATAGGCATTCTGAATCTTTGTTTTCAAAATATCACCACAAACCTTGCAATATGACAGACTGAATTTTCTTTAGTTCTTTTTAGCTGTTTTGAATATTTGCCAATTTGAAAGGTAGGATATAAATAGAATAGATAAGTGGTAATGTTAAATAGTGATTTATTAGTTTTGATACATTCACTTACAGATTTATTGTATTGTGCTGATTTTAATTTTGCACTGCCATGAATCTTTCTGGACTGTGGTAGTATAAATACAATACAATACAATACCATAAAAATTCATTTATTTTGCTTGCTTTAATTGACAAACTAAATACTTTTTATAGTGCTTGTCCATATTGCAGCTATTCCGTTGTCTCTGTTTTGTAACACAGTTGCAGCTCACCAATTCTGAATGCTGATTACATTTGCTTTCCATCCTATGACCTAAGGAAACAGATATTTTCAGTAGCTGCCCCTATGCTTTGGAACTCCCTCCCTATGGAGAACTGGCCTACCTCTTCCTTCCTCAGTTTCAGAACAGTTAAGATCTGGTTCTCCAACTAGTCTAGGAGGAAGGTGTGTTATAAATGTGGGGATACATAGGCAGACACATGACTTTGTGTGTGTGCTTTCTTTTCTTTGTCCCTTTCAATGTTGTTGGAACTTATTTGGGGTGGGGTGTTTATTTTTGTGTTGGAAAGGTTCTTTTCATGATGTTTAAGTCCAGTTGATTGGGGCCCCATTCTAATTATTTGCATTATCTTGTTCAGTTCTTAAATGTGTGAAATAGATAGATAGATAGATAGATAGATAGATAGATAGATAGATAGATAGATAGCGTGTTGTATTGTTAGCAGCTCAGAGTCTTTGGAAATGGGCAGCATACAAATAAAGTAAGCAAGAAAGTAAGTTACCAAATTGAAAAAAGCTTCTATTATTGAATATTTCCATAGTAAATGACATGCAGTACACAACAAGATAGTAGTGTAAGCTAAACAAAGTACTGCCTCTGTCAAGGGCTATTCAGACATAGTAGCTAGACATTTTTCGTTGCAGAAAGTCTTCAGGTATGGAAAATCATAAGAAAAGATACCTGATAACTCAGAATGTTTTCCATAAATGATATTGTTACCACAATAGCTTTGTTTGGAGTTATAGCAGTCATGTGAAGTATTGGATAACTGCATTACTACCATCGTATAGACATTCCTTTGCATGATTCTTTACCTGAGGTGGCTAGGAGAAATGTGATAGGGTATCAAACAATTGGATTATATGTGAGAAAAGCTATGTCTGTTCTAATAAGGTCCTTGTTTGTTTGAAAAGTCTGATTGACTTATTTGTGAGTAAATGTGCATAAGAGAGCCAGTTTGGTGTAGTGGCTAACGTGTTGGGCTAGGACACAGTTCTTCTACCCCATGAGGCATGAAAACTAGCTGGGTTACTTTGGACCAGTCACACTCTCCCAGCCCAACCTATCTCACAGGGTTGTTGTTGTGGGGAAAACAGGAGGTGGGAGGTATGTACAGTACCTTGAGTTGACAAAAAATAAAGGCAGGATAAATAAAATAAATAAATAAATAAGATTGCCATCAGAATAGCTTAGAGGAGTAGCTGAGTTGTTAAATTCTTCCAACTTTTGGGATATTAACCTATGACTAATTCAAGTGACACCTTTAGGAGGACATAGGCATAACTAGTTGCAGTATTCTTCACCAATGTAAAATAAGATTGTCTCCCTATTCCCTGAAGCATGGAATTTGATTACTGTTATAATTAGCTTAAAATGATAAATGGGTCATTGCACAGTCAAATAACTTAAAGCAAAATTTAATCTAGTGGAAGCAATTGTAATAAAGATATAAGGATGTCCTCATCAAAGGAAAGCCAAGTATAGGAAAATTATACTACAACCTTGGTTAAGGTGTGAAGGATTCAGCTGTAATATCTGAAGAGGTCAAAGGCCTAGAATGTATGTTTTTTTCAGTAAGATTCACCATTTGGAAGTCTCTAAGTGTATTTCAAGGATTTAAAAAATCATTATTAAATTATTCCATCACTGGTATCCATGGGGTGGGGTAAGGCGGAAAGAGAGGGGGGGGGGAGTGTAAAAGTTTTATCTGCTCTTCAGAAAGTCCTATAATGTGAAAACTTGTATCAGGCAAAATATTATTTCCAATACAAACATAGATGCGAGAAATTCAATACACTTTTGAGAGTATTCCAATAAAAATGTCTATGATACTCAATTTTCTCTTCAAAAGAGAAAATTGAAATCCAGGTAAAATTACTTATTTATTTTTACTGAAATCAATGAAACAAGTTTGTTTTGGCTCCTTTACTTTTCATTTTAGGGCCCCAAAATTAAAGGGATGGTAATTAGTGCTTCCTACTGATTGCCACACAAACTACAATAGAATTGGTCAAGGGGATGATTTTTAAAATTTCAGATGAACCCCAGGGTAAATAATGGAAATAATAGACTGGGATTCAGGAGGGAGCAGTTCCTTCCCTTGACCCCAAGGTTACCTGAAGCAAGTTTGAGTCTGTACTCCTAAGGATCCTTTCCTATTTAGTAGATCTAAATAGTAACTTGTGAAGGCCTCCTGGGAGGTTGCATGCAGTTAGGTCCATGCAGTAGTTGTGGCTTTGTTATGGAGGAGATGGTCTGCTGGCCTTCATCCATTGATCTGGGGTCAGGTTTCACCAGTATGCTGAAATATTCAGTTGAGGGGATCTAAGTTGGAGAAGCAGACTCAAACTTGACCCTAGCAAGACCAAATAGTTGTGGTGTTTGGACCCCCTGGTTCATCTTTTGTTTTGAATGGGATTATACTATTTGGGGATAGTTCACTATTTGGGGTTTTTCCCGGACTCACAGTTCTTGCTTGAGGAGCACTTGGCAGCTGTGGCCAGAAAGGCCTTTGCACATATTCATCTTATGGGACTACCCTCCAGACAACCATCCATGCTTTGCTGACCTCATACATAGACTACTGCAATGGGGTTGTCCTTGAAGACTATTCAGAAGCTGCAGCTGATTCAGAATACAGTGGCATGGGCAGCCATATAACATCTCTGCTCTGTAAGCTGCACTGGTTACCAATAGGCTTCTGGGTGAAATTCAAGGTGCTACTTATCTCCTATAAAGCCCTTCATGGCATAGGGCCTGGCTGTCTGAAGGACCATCTGTCTCCTCTAATGTCTGCCTATCCTGAAAGGGTTCTATTAATATATATTAATACATGTGGGCATAACCCCATAAGATACATCAGATACTCAGTGCTGGATACATGTAATACCAAATTAGATTTCCCTCAAATAAACAGGAAGGATGGAGCAGATTTAAAAATGGACAAATTGAAAAAGAGAGGCGGAGCTGGGTAGCTCCTTCTCTACCCTCTCACATTCCCTTTCGGATTGCACTGTTAACAGTAAAACTGAAACACAGTAAAACAGGATGGGACTGGGGACTGCTTAAGGTAGTCAGTTAAAAATTCATGAGCAAAGATTTGGCAGTTGGGGTAATAAATGAATTAGCATTAATAATAATTTAGCATTTAACTGTTTATTCCTTACAGTTTTATTCAAAAGTGAATGCATTTCATTTTTCAGGTCATAATTTTTGTGCACAAGGGCACCGATGTGGTGAAAATTCAGAGTGCAGAAACTGGAACACACGAGCTACTTGCGAATGCAAAAGTGGTTATGTCTCGGTCCAAGGGGACTCTGCCTATTGTGAAGGTAAATAGTATACTCCTGAAAGGAACTTGATTGTAATCTAGTGAGAAATACTCTGCTAAAAACAAAGGCCTTGCATAGTGTCTCATTATGAAGTTGAGTCTTCACAGCAGCATTTATAATATTACCCACATTTGAATTTTTTATTTAGAAAGTACAGATAACCCAGAGAAAAGGAAAGTTTACTTCGAAGTTCCCAAGTGATGGATTTGCTTCTTAGCATGCAAAAGTAGCTATCTCCTGGCTTGTTTAACTTTGTCATATAGATTTCAGCTATGCTGCTTCTCACACTGATGGGAACAATAGCATGCTTGAGAAATCAAATCAATGTCTCTTGAAAATGACATAAGAACCACGTGTGACTTCAGTTGATACTTGGGAGATCTAAGACCTATCAAAAGAGTCTCTGAATAACTTGTTTCTATGACTAAGGTGTCCCTTGATATACTCATGGAAAAATATTGAAAGAAATAGTTTTGGCAATATAAGTTGCATGTGTGCTGGGCTAGATCTGGCCTGAAAATGCAGAAAGGTACATGTTATTAAAACACCCTTCATTCCTTAATTGGATTCCAAATCCAGATTGAGTTCCCTGTCATTACTGTAGATTGAAAAAGAAAGTAAAAAAAGAGAGAGAGAGAGAGAGAGAGAGAGAGAGAGAGAGAGAGAGATGTAGTTATTAGACATGTGTTTAAAGCACCTCCTAGTTTGCATCTGGTACAATCTTACTTAATTATATGGCAGTCAATTGCACTGAAATAGATTCTGTATGATTTTATAGTAGGGATATCTTCAATTGTACTATTCTAGCATCATTTAAAAGCTGGCTTTACTGTATGGTTTAATAGTTTTCCCTGGAGTTTACAGTAACCTTATATTCTTTTTGGAACAGGTGAGTTTCTTCTAACTCTGAGTGATATTGTTGGGCAAGCCCTTACTTTTTGACAAAATGATTTAATGTCAAGGCCTATGTGAGGTGACATAGATCTCATCAGTAAAGAGATTTGTGCCATGGTAGTAATGTGGCTCTCTGTCAAAGCAAAGAGCCACCTGTTATTTGCCCAAACCAGAAAGGTTTCTGTGCAGAAGTTGCACTGGAACAGAAGCTTTTTCCATCTTTGGCAAGAGCAGGTTGAAGAATAACTTGGAAGAAAATCTGGCTGAAAAGAAATATAAGATCTCAGTTCAGACATTAACTTCAGAGATTAATCTTCAGACATCAATTTCAGATCAAATCAACTGTTTGAGGGTATCCAAATTCTTGTAATCTAAGTCATAATGTCTTAAGAGATCCTGTTGTTCAGTGCAATGTAAAGTCTAATAAGTGGCTTGAACTGCTCTGGTTAAATAATTATTTATATTTTGCTGTAAATTGATAAAAACAAAATGCTATTATGGTCTTTGACCAGCATGAGATACAAATATCACTGCTGTAAAAATCCAAAAAGACAATTTATAATATGAATAAAATACATTGAGACTTTAAATAACTATTTAAAGCTATTTAAAATAAAATTTATGACTATTAATATTATAATTACCAACAAGAAATAGGACAAGGAGAACATTTTAGGAATATGATACAAGAAGAATGACGGTTAATATTTACTATATATACCAACAGAGAAATGAATATCTCTTAGTGTCCAACAGATCTTAACATGCTGAAGCCTAAACTTTGCAACATTACGTGTTATAAAAGAATTACTATCAGAGAGAAAGAGAGAAAAAAAATGTAAAATTGGTTTGAATGACCAGGCATTCCAGTCAAAGGTGGAAAAGTCAGGACATTACGAATATCTCTATAAACTTGTTATAAAGTGACTTTTTTTTCCTTAGAAGCATTGTGCCTTCTACTTTTTACATATTGTCAGAAGAAACATTCACTTTGCTGTATGCAATTTATATATAGTACTTATGAATTTGGTCTTCATGGGTCTTTTCTTTTCATTTTTTATAAACACTGTCTTTAAAATTGATCCTGAGCTTCTTTCTTTCCGTCTATATCTGAGTTGACAATAAGACACTTAGCTGACAAGAAGTTAAAATGTACTGTGGAACAAGAAGAAAGAACGGAGTATTGTTTGGTAAAAAGAGAGAGAGAAACAGAGTTATGGATAACTGCCATAGCTGTTATTTCCCATACTTTTGGGGAGTGAAGATCTGTAAAGCTATTGTTTTTCATATCTTTTTGGAATGAAAATGACCACTGCCATTGTCATGACCCATGAGCAACAAGCCTCAAATTATAGTGGTCACTCCTGTCATAGGAAAGTATATTCCATAGGAATTGTAAGTCAGAAATCATTCTATAAATGTTGCAAGAATTCTTTTCAAATCAATAGAAGATTCGAAACTTTTTGACAGCCAGTTCAACAAAGGGTCAGATTGACTGTATATTTGTTTTCTTCAACTACTTGTAGTTGTTAAATTTAATTTATTCATGTATATTTTCTTTGAAACATGCAAAATAAAGCTAGGGAATCTTCTTTCTTGGATTTTGTGGAACCTGACAACATCTTAAAGGGTTTAGCTCAAAGTTTCACTGGTGGATATTTTCAGTTTTGGTGGAAGGGAAAATGTTAGCACTTTAATTAGTATACCAGTTGCAGCTAAACATTATAGCAAATGGCTGCTTTTTATAACTAGTTTGTTTTCTTCAGAAAGAACTTATATTGGGAACTGATTGCTGTAGGGTGAAGGGGAACCCCCAGCCCTAGAAATATTTACAAGACAGATTTCTGGCTATTTTAATAGGACTGCCTGATGGATACTGGGTTGAAGAAAACCTTCTCTGGATAGTAAGTGCCTCATTCCCATAACATACAGACCAGCAGTGGGTGAACCACCCTACAAATAGGTCTGTTTGAGGCTGTGGGCAGGAATGCCTTTTATATGCAGTCCTCCAATTCTTTTTCTTTTGAATATGAGAAACAGGCTGAACTAGGCTCTTGTGTACTCCAGCATTCACACCATTTACCATGTTATTTCAACATCATTCCTAGTAAGTGTACAAATCGGAAAGTTCTGTGCATAAGGCTTCTTGGTAACTGGGAAGATGTTAGATTTGAGGGATGGGAGGACAGAGTAGATTGAAACAATATTGAGATATTGGACATAAATTCTCTATTTGGCCAGTTGTTGTAATCCAGCCTCCCTAGCAAATGTGCTGAGGGAACTTCATTTGCTTTTCACACTGAATCAAGAGCACAGGTAGCTCTTCTGTGAATATTTGCTATTTTCTGCTGCTGTATTAAGGCCTGAGTTGAGAGGGGTCTTTGCTCATTTTTCTCACTAGTGACTTATAGCATCTTCTAGAGACATTCAATCATTGTTGTGCCAAAATAATGGTAATGCAGACAGGCTTTCTATCATGTCAGTGGTAGCCAGGTGATGCTATGAAGATGTTATAAGTCACTGTTGGGAAATGACTTTAGTTTGTTGTCTGATTATATCTGCTCCTATGCCGCCTTTTCTCACAGGGGCATAATAGATACTTTTATAAAGTTAAAACATAAATATCTCCACCAGTAGCTGTACAAGAAATTACAGTCACAAGTTAGCTCTTTATCTCTTTGTGACAATTATGTGATTAATAACACATTTTTAAAAAGTGGTTGAAAAAGAAATGACATGGATTCTTTTGAGATCCAGGTTTTCCTATCTCTTGCAGTTGACTTGAGAGTAGTGACATCATAGTTCAGGATCTGCAAGGTCATTAACTCAGCAGTTTCAGATATTATTCTTCTTATACATTTAAACACAACAGATCTTTATTGTTTGGTCTTTTAATCTCAAGCAATATTGTCTATGGCAGTATTTCTCAAACTGGTTATAATACTATTTAATAAAAATTAGAAAAATGCAGGGACCGCCCACTTAAGCAAGTCCCCATCCCTTGGTTTCATTGTTAAAAGCATGGGGATCCACATTTTTACTGAATAAGATCATTATTAATGTTACATTAATGTAAGCCTTTTCATACCCTCCATTTTTAAAAGCCTTTCTAAACTAAATTTTGTACCAACATTTTAAATCCAAAGTTATTTGCCACTTGAATTATTTTACATACCCTGTGCCATGATAACAACAACTCTTAGCACAAATTTACTGGTCAACAACATTCTTCCATAAAAATTTGTGAATACTAAAGGTTAGGGACAAGTGAAACTTCTAACCCAATGAAATCTCATTTCTAGGTATTCACTGCTGCACTTTCTGTTCACACTTTTATTTTGGGGTTGCTTGTGAAACCACAGTTCAGCTTAGCACAGCACTTCTGTACTTTCAGTTGATAAATGTACTTGAGACCAGTTCTCTACTGTTATTTTTAGTAGTCATGTTACTACTAGTATTATCACTTATATGCTTTAATTAACCATCTGTCTGGTGGTGAATGTAGGGAGGCAACAGCTGACGTGGTAAGCAGGTTCTGGAATGGCTAGTTAAATGGCTAAATTCACAGGCCACTATTTGAATATCACTGGTCTATGGTGCTAATGTAGTTTTTATCTTTTTAATTTGTACACTAACTCCCATCCTTTCTACCATTTAAATAAAAAATAATACTTAATTAGAAATTGGGAGTTCCCTCATAAGATTAACCAGTGTCTGATGATGTTATAAGTGTTTACATTTCCTTTTTTTACTATTAAAAAGTGTGTCACTAATTATACATTATACATTATAAAAATTAATATATAAATTTGCTATCCTCGGTCTCCTCCAGCTGGATCTTTTAATTCTCCCCCGGCTAGAATTTGAAATGGGAGAAGGAATGTCTTCAGTGACAAAGTCTTTGTTGAAGGTAATCTATGGTTTTGAAAATAAAGTGATAATCTTATTCAAAACTGATATCCTTTATATGCCCTGCAGGTCTTAAAACTTTCAATACAAGTTTTCAATAGAGGTTCACCCATGCTAGCTATTTCTTCAAAAACAACAAGAA